ATACCCTGAAACAAAAGGCAATGAATTTAGTCGAAGAACAATCATATAGGTTCTTATTTTATTTGCAGGGCTTTCCCAATGATGGCAAAAATTTACATTGTATTAAACAGACTTGTATTTTAGTTTAAACTACACAAATTTCTCCCGTGTTTTTCTTACGGCATGCATTAACAGTAACATTTCACACCTTGCATTTGTCATCTAAGGCTCTCAAAGAATTCTGACCCACGTCTCTCACCCTTATTTTCACCAAATACAGAAACAGAGACAAAGAGGTCAAAGTGACTCCAAATGTCACAGAGGCTGTTAGCAGAGGAAGGAGCATAAGAACTCTGTTGACAAAGCAATCATAAAAAACCACTTTTCAAGATTTAAAAAATATCAAGTTAATTTTCCTTCCAGTAAGAGGAAGACAGAGAGCACCACATAGGTAGGGACCTACTGAATTCACAACTGTGCAAAAAATGTGAATTTGGGTGGGCTCTGCAAAAAACAACAGGCTCGCTGCAAGAAAAGAAAAGAAAAGAAAAGAAAAGAAAAGAAAAGAAAAGAAAAGAAAAAAGAAAAACTTATTGAAAATAAAATGCCGTCTGCCCAGAGGGAGCTGGTGCTGTGGCCCAGGGCCGCCATCACAAAGGGCTGCTGCCCCTGCCCCTCACCACTGATTGGCTGAGAGGGCTACCTGTTGTGCGGCCTCACCCCTCTCCATCAATTGGTGGCAAGGGGCAGGGCTGCATGATGGACAGCCCTTGCAACCAATCAACAGCAAGGGGTGAAGTCATGTGATGGACAGCCTTCACAGAATCACAGCCAATCAGCAGTGAAGGGCAGGGCCACCAGAGCCCCTCAGCCAGTCGGGGCGGGGGGAAGGTCACTGCATTCAACCTGTGAAAATGGCAGCTGACCCTGGGATCTGCCTGTGAAATAAGCCAGCCACCTCCTTGAGTTAAATAACCTCTGTCTTATGTCTACCTATGCCATTTAATAAACCATAAGAGGACTGGCATATTATTTGAGTACTTGAGTAGACACTGGTTGGCCAGTTCTAACTTCCGTGTTTTAACCATTAGCTTCTGCTGCCTCCCAGGGTATTACTCCTTCTAGGGCCACCTCCCCTTTTCACTGCAAGAGCCAGGAGATCACAAGCTGCACCTCTAATACCACAATCATTTTCAAATCAAGACGGTATGAGGTTATGAACGCAGGATTTTGACATCATGACAGGATGAAATCAAGGCTTGTGAGGGTGAAATCTTTTCAACCAAGCACACATCCAGAGAATGTCTACATCAGCCATACAGTTCAGCCCCCACAATAAATCCACAAAATAAGAAAAGAAAATCAAATTTTTCTTCAGAATAATTTGTGGGAATGTCACCTTAATCTGACAGCCATTGGAAAAGTTGCTGTGTAAAAACAGCACGGTCTCATTAACATGTCTTTGAGTCACATTTGCTGATAAACTGATGAAAACAAGATGTTACTGTTCCCACTGTAGAGCTTGTCATCATCGTCATAACCAGGGATCCTGGTTTTCTGTTTAAATTTACAAATTCTTTGATTAAAAGGAAAATCAAAATTCTCTGATTAAAAATCCAAAATCTGCATTTTTCCATGATTAAAATGAAATGCTGCTGTATATATAGGTATCAGATGAACACAAAGTTTAAATTGATCTATTTACAATTTTAAAGCAGTTTGGAAGTCTACCAGTGCCTCAATCACTTTAATAAAATAAATTCTAAATGCCTATAAATGTTATTTGATTTGGGGGTTTTTTATCATGGAAAAATCAGAGCTCCCCCTGCCCCCTTCACTCACCAAGACGTGGGTCCACCTGCAGCTGTCCCCTGCCACTGCTTTGTGGCGCTGAGCAGCCCCAATATGCTAGTGCCCTGCCCAGGCCATTGCCCCTCACTCCCAACTCAGAGCCCCCCAGTCCAGCTGGTGCCCCTCACTCCCCAGCCACAGCCTTCTGGCCCTGCCAGTGCCCCTCACTCCTGACCAACAGCCCCCTGTCCCCCCACCCCCAGCCCTGCCAAAGGTGGTCCCCAGCTGCCAGGGCTACAGGGTCAGGGACCCAGGTCCATAACCCTGTCCCCCCCCAGCAGCCTCTGAGCCCCAGCTGCCACCCATGGGAGATGATGGATGCTGCAGCTGGAGCACAGCACAGAGCCAGGCTCCCCCACCCCATAGACAACACAGCCAGATCAGAGCCCATGGGGGAGGGTGGATGTGGGCTGCCCACTGCAGGCCTGAAGCTTACTGCCCTGCTGCTATCCCCCCAGTGGCCCCCATGACCCAGCAGGCAGGACCCAGCATGGCAAGCCAGAGCAGAGTGGGGCAGGGAGGCTCAGTGCTTGGTGCCATAGCAAGGTGCCCCGTCCACCCAGCAGCAGCATCTCACCATGGTGGTGTGGGGCTCCTAGCAGCAACACCAAGCCTCCCCACCCCACTCTGCTCTACCCTACTATGCCAGGTCCCACCTGCTGGGACATGGAGGCCCCTGGGGGAAGAGCAGCAAAATGGGGAGCCCTGAGCCTGCAGCCACCAGCCTGCATCTGCCCCCAGCCTGCACACAAATCTGGTGGCGTGCGCCCACCATGCCACCCTGGAAGTGCACCCAGTGGTGGGATGCCAGCCCCCAGCTGCCCCCTCAGATAAGCAACCTGCAGCTTCATCCTGCTCCCTAGCCAAGCCCTGCAGCCACACATTCCCACCCCAGCCCTGGACCCCAAGCCCCATGCACCACCCCAACTGGGCAGTGCCCCCAGCCCCAACTCCCTCCCTCCCTCACTTGGGGGCCCCCATCCCCTCTCCCAACTTATCTGAAGAGAGCTGCAGGACCTGCTCTCATGCCTCCTGGCTATACATGGTGCCCCCTTTTATTGCACTCCCCCCCAGCCCCTTGCACACTGGAACTCTGTCAGCCTGCAAGGGGAAACCCACTGTTTCCCATATTTTTCTCCTTAAAAGGAGAACATCTGTGGTTTTCTCCTTAAAAAGAGAATATTGTGGTTTTCTGTGATGAATGGAAAACCCAGATCCCTGGTCCTAACAGTTATGAAAGAGGGATTCTATTCTATTTTATGCATCACTGCCAAAGTGTCACTAGAATTCTGATAGGAGTGTCCTTATTACTAATGCTGATGATATAAGGCAGGGTGGGTTTACTGCAACACAGGTGACACAAATCATACAGGCAGCCTTTGCGTGCTCCACGCAGCAGACTAGGGAATGGACAGGCAGCACAATGGCAGATAGACCAGAAAGTAGAGCATCAGATCATGCAAGGGGCACAGGACAGGAAGCAGAAAGCAGATGGAGCAAAGCAAGAGGATCAGAGTGGCACTCGGAGGTGTGGGGCTAATTTGCCAAAAAGGTTGGTCCCCACTGGTATAACAGAAGAAAGAAGACAGCTTGATTGTTGGATCGAAGATTGATTTTAAAAAAAGCCCTTGATAAAACATCCTGCTCTCTGTTATGCTAGTATGGGGCAGTGGAGGAAGGAAAAGCTGGAGGGAGGGAACAGACAAATGTACTTTTTAGCCACTTTAAAAAGAGAAGGGGAGCTGCTACTTGGGAGCACACATAGGACCTTATTATCCAAGTGTAACATCCATATGATCCTGTAGTGATACAGCTTTGACCCCAAATGGAGCAAGTTTAAAGTAACAGCAGTTTTGCTACACTTTTATTGTTACAAGATTATAAAGAAGTCACATGTGAGCAACAGCGCATACCAGTATTCTTTGATATAGATCCAATTGATACATCTGTCTGTATCAGTCTGTAATGTGAGACAGCTTGCAAAGAACGGAAGCAGCCAATATCCAAGGGCTAAGGAGGGAGGCCAGCAATCTTGCCTGACAGTAGTCCAAGAGACAGTGTCACCCTCATAGAAATGTGTTGCAACTGGCAGCAACACTGATGGAAACTGCCCACTACTCCTTCTGGCACAATTCTGTTACCATCTGTTGGCCATTTGTTACTGGCTTTATGAATGTTATGCCAAAGTGCCAGATAAAAATATTGCCAAAGGAGACTGGTACAAACACATCTGGTCAAACAGGTGGTACAGTTCAGAGGCATTGTAGGCACAGATAGTAGAGCTCCCCCATTGTAACTTATGGCACTTCACAGGAAGCACCACAAATTACTACAATCCCCCAGACACCACAGACATTCACTGCTGGGTCCTGGATGCCGGGGAATAGAGCTGCCATTTAAAGCGGCTGCAAGCCTGCAGCCGCTATCCCTAGCAATGCCCCTCCCCATCCCAGCCCCACGCTGTTTTCAGAATGGGAGGGGGGAAAGGGAGTGGAGGGAGTTTGGTCTGGGGCAGTTTCAGCCAGTACTGGAGGGTGGGTGGATTGAAGCCCCCTCCCCATTTTAGGGGGGGCACCAAGTGGGGGGACCCCAATCCACCTGACCCACCCTCCAGCAGTGGCTGAAAAAAACCCAGATTGAACTCCCTCCACTCCTTTTCCCCTCCCACCCTTCCACTCTGAAGACAGCACCAGGAGCAGGGCTGCGCAGCCAAAAGTTACTGAAGGTGGTCTGCTCTGGAGTGTTTTCATCTGAACCCTGATGCAATGAGGTTTAGATTTTTGTGGAATCATGCCCTTTTAAAGTGCTCTGCAGCCATGCACTTCTGTTTGGTCATGGCTATAGAGTACTTTCAGGGGTCAGATCAGGTGAAAATTATCACTTCTGTCTGCACCTTGTATGTGCTTTGAGATACCACAACTCCACCACAGAGAGGAGAGAGAGATAAGCCCATGAAGCTGGGAAGTGTTCTGCCTTAATGTAACCAATGTGATCCAAATTACAACTCATGCTTTCTGACCTAGTGTCAACATGAACAGGAAAAGGTGGCTGTTCCAGTTAATATGTCCAGCCTAATGCCTCATCTACTTGCCCCCTCACTGAGTTGCATGTAAAAATCACTTCTTTGATAAAT